ATCTGCAAACTTTGCCATATGAAACGAGTCATTTCCCGTCATTTGAAAAAGTCATACTGAACATAAAATGGCCTCTTTTTGCATCTTAAAACTGTATCAACAATTATTGGTATACTGTGTAACTTTAGACAAATTTACTATACTGTACACTGTTTAGAGAGAAAAGGCTTCAAAAGATGCACAATAGAAATATAAGGCATGGTGACATACCAGAGAAAAAGATACAACCCCTAATACTTGGATATCTGTTTAAAATGGAAAAAAAATTATAGCCAATGATGCATTATGAAGATTTAAGTATCATTATGACAATTAAACACTTAGCATAAAATACTGAAGCCAGTAACAATTGACCTCAATATTTAAATAGGGAGGTGTCAATGGCATAACATTTTCATGTTTCTGAAGACTGTGTGTAATCTTGAGTATGCCCGATCCATCTTAATTGTATATCTAATCAATTGGCAAAATGATTTTCCCTCAAAATTTGCAGTGGTGTTTTCTCGATTACAGAACCTACAGTTGATCACAAGCTGCATCACACCTTAAGAGGCAATATGCGAAGTATACTGTAGATAAATTCATCATTTCAGTAACACCCAACCTTTCTGGTTTAAAACTACAGCGTTATGAATGGTAATAATTACAGATGAAAATATGGGTTTTAAGTTTTTTGTTTTTTATCTTTTTGCACAACCATACATTTCCATAGTTCATTTAATGGTATAGTCACCCACAAAAATCCTAACACTTCTGCTGTTCCATGAACCCCGAAATTCAGACTCGTAAATCCAAAGCATTAGACACTGATGCATTATTCTATACATAAATGCTTCGGTTTCGTGAGTCTGAATTTCGAGGTTCATTGTTCAGGTGGAGAGGCGACAGGACTCTTGTGGGTGACTGTACCTAACCTTACTTAATGTAATACCAGGTATACAAATACTGATGTACTGTACAACTACCCTGAAAACCTTTGGTGATATTTAACACAATACAGGTGTTGACCATTTATACAATGGATCTATATACGATCAATCAGTTTTATGAAGTTTAAAAATTAACACCGTTTACCGCTATGTGAGGGTTAAGATCAGTTTTATGATGGTTTGCTACTCAAATGCTTTCCTGCATTATCATGATTATGAAAAAGTGATGTGCAATAACTCGCAGTATTCCGAGATATGATGACAACCTTGGAATGGCATAACATGTGCAACCCACGCAGGATGTGTGGGGAGCTCTGCCTGTCCCCAGTTAATATACTGTACCAGTAAATGTGAGGAACAAAAATAATAAGAATATAAAAAATACCGCATTGCCATTTGACAATCTTAATAATAATAATAATAATTAACGGTTTATTGAAAGAGCTTGGCAGCCAGAAGGCTGAAAATATACAGTTACATATTTGGGGAATGGGTTTCGAATTACAAATAATATACAAGTAACATAAGTGATACAAATAAGAAATATAATAACTAGATGGGGAAAAGCTCAAACTACAGTGCATTTCAACATAGTGACAGTGCAATGAGTAGTGTTTACTGGGAATGAATACACTGGTTTATTACAAGTTATTGATAATTTTTACAATGGTTGGGACTGGGCTGTTCTTATAGCGATCAGTTCGTGCACGTATGGGCTGGATGCGGTTGTGGTGTCGAAAAGCAATTCTCGGGCTAGGGATCTCTTGTTACCATGCACGAGATGAGTTGAGATCCCCCGCTATGTGTGTTAAGTCCCACACTTGTAAGAAATGTTATTCCCTTTATATTTTTGACCTTATAATAATTTTTCTATTCATATTCTGTATGAAAGATGTGTGTGCATTTAACAGGTAAAAAAAAAAAAAGTATGTCCACCCGAAATTATAAGCTGAAAAATAACGGAACCTATTTTCCCCTTAAGTTATTAATATCAACATACGATCAATCACCTCACGATGACTTTTCGAAGTCCCTAACCCCACCATATAACGGTAACACCTGTATTAGTGGTAGTTTAGTGGACTAGATAAATATAATATCAGCAATTAATCAATATACTGTAGTGCACAAAAACTTGAGGGGATTAACACTGTAGATTGGGCATGAGGGAAAGTAGACTGTACTATATATTTTGTGCAGTACAAAAAATATGAATACATGGTGTTAAACTTCTATACATACTGTACTGGGCACCATCACTACTTTCACCAAACACACTATTCTTATCTAAAGAACTTGACCTTGCCAACCAATATACCCACAACAGCCACTTTGCTCCCCAAGTTACTTCATCCTAGTGTACAAGTATGCAGTACTGTATCATTGTCTTCTACATAATACACCTTGCCTCCAAAATGTCACATACAGTTCCTAACTTTCACATTCCTGGTTTTTCATTATTGTTGGCAGTCTTTAAAAATGTGTTGTGATGTTTTTTCTTTGTCTTTTCTTAATATCCAAACTGCAGTACAGTGTGTGTATTTACCAGGATAAACTAACTTTGGTATAAACTGGTAAATGTCAGTAACAGACCAGCATGGGTAAAATACAGTACATATACGTATACAGACACAGACAGAGAAATAAACAGACTAGTGTAATCAAGTAACAGTATAGAGTACAGTACTTCATACTATTCAAAGTTTACAGTCAATCATTTTTGAGCGACCAAGAAAGTAACAAGACGCTGAAATTATATAAAAATATTTTGCATACAAAATTAAGAAAAAATATGTAAATTCTCTATATACATAAAATACTTTGGTCTTTAAAATATATATACTGGCACAGTTAAGTTTATCATATTTAGCAGGTGATCACTTTCACCTACAAGAAGTTCAATTCAACCAACATTTACTTTTCTCTTACAAAGTTAAATTTTCTCTTGTATCTGGTAGCATCTGTTGCTGTACCATTAAAGATCTAGAGGTAGAGCTTTCCTTCAACAGTACTTGTATTCAGGGTGGGGAATAAACCTATGTCGTAAATCTAACCAACTTGTAAATAAGACATTATCAATTTAACCTGTTAATTAAATACTGTAGTTGTGGCATTACCATGGTACAGTACACAATGTGATCTATACAGAGCCTCTAACCAACTGGATCCAGATCTATATACGGTACATACACTAAATCCTCTCAATACCAGAATTATCGGTGAGCGGAACTTCGGTATCAAGAATTTTACATTGCTTGTACATCCTCCCTTCAACAGAAATTGCCTCTCGACATTGATTTTTTTTTCTTTCACTTGGACACCATTTCTGTTAAGTTTTAAGGATGCACTACCACATTATAAAAAGTAATCCTGGTTAGGATTTTTAGGTTAGGTGCACATAAATCCCATTAAGTACTGTGTTTATTTGTTTGATGGTACAGTAATTTTTACTTAGTTATCTCGGATTTGTAACCCTGCAGTATTTGAGCATTTTCTGTTGTATGTGGACATTGCCAAATAATACACTGTACCTATAATGTACAGTACTACCATACACTTGCTTCACTGGCAGGCTAAACACAGGAAGGTGAGTCAGTTGGGAGTTACTTTTGGTCACTTCCATTCCCTCTATAGTAATGTCAAAGTGGAGGTTTGAAGTGGTGCCTGGAGGTGTGGGGAGGATGGCACTGGGATGAGGTTGCTATTAGGTCTTCTTGTTGTGGAAAGTGATATCGGAGGCACAACTGGTACTTCTAGAAAGCGAATTTTGGATCTTGGAGAAGTAATCATTAATCACAGAACCTCCGCTGCTCATCCTCCTCAGGGCATTGCTCCCTCAACATCTGTCACATCCATCATATTGTTGGGCAAGGACTTCAAGAATACGTCCAGTTCATCTGCACTGTTTAGTTCATACAGTATTTTCTCGATTTAACAAACTAATTCAAACCACCCCTTTCCATAAAATCAAAATTTCCTCTAAATTGAATTTCCATTATTTTCGCTCGATTTAGCGAACTAGTTCACTAAATCGAGCATGATTCCATTAAATTCCACGCCAAATGCCCGACTTGGTGCCTTGAGGTTTGTTTTCATCCGCTCAGTCTGTGTCCTGCCACCATCGCGTGTGTTGTTCACTGCCACATCTTGGTCGACTATCTACTGTGCTTAAACATCATGCCAAAAATCTCTCGGAAAGGAAATCGTGTGGGGAGGGAGAAAGTCAAAAGAGTGCGACAATCAATTGAAAAAAAATTGGAAATTATAGAAAAATTTGAAAACAAACACAGAACCCCCTAGTTTAAGGTAAGCCATGAATAATGTTTATGTACATATGTGTCTGAGGTGTCTCCATAGGTGTGAGTGTATTAACGGAATTAAATCTCAATTTAGTGAACTGGTTCACTAAATCAATTGAAAAATAACAGAAAAAATTCCTTCCATGAAATCGAGAGTTCGCCATATCAGATTCCATTAAATAGAGTACAGGTGCTCCTCGACTTACGACCTGCCTCAGTCGTACCAAAATTTGGTCAAATTATGTATTTTTGAGTCCCAAAGTCAGTACACAGATAAAATTTTCATCTGTAATTCACTTTAAAATGGCTGGCAAGCTTAAAATTAAGAGTTTTGTGGTGCTGAGAAGAAAAAGAGACATCCACGTGTTATTTAAGCATTTCCGACTTACGGCCTGGATGTCGGTCCCTAACCCCATCGTAAGTCGGGGAGTACCTGTATACTGTATCTGTGAATGTCATTCTCAAGTATTGTATCGGCTCCAGCAGTTACTAAAAGATGGGCCACATCAGCACTCACAGTATCATTAGCCACTTGCCTATTGGAGATTTTATATATCCTGTACAATTCTTCAAACTTGCAGTGTAGCATCACTTGAAAGAGTTCAGAGAATCTTAGGGCTGCTTCCTTAATATCAGCCCTACATGCTGGAATGCCACTTGTACACTCCTGCATATACCATTCCTACACTACCATATCCACTTTTTATACCCATCCTTATATATTTCAACCTTTCCTCTTCAAATGTTATCATTTCTTTCCATGCCCCATTCCAGTCTTTCTCAACACCTCAGTCAAGGTGAAAAACTTAAAAAACATGTACGTATACAAGCCATAAAATTTAAGTGCAACACATAAACTGTGTAAAGTATTGCACCCACAGCAGTACTGTACTTATGAGAGATTGCCTGGGAAAGCTAGGCAACCAGGGACAGCCCATCACAGCCTCCACTTGGTGTGCTTAATCAAAAAGAACAGTGCATAGGTATGGGTGGTGTCTCTGAGGTAGTCTTTCACATGGGAACATGTGTAGCACACACACCAGATGTTGAGAAAAATAAACCATGCATTGGCAAGTTGTATCTCAACCCAGGATGTGATACGCTTTTTTGATACGAGGAAGCCAGTATTGAGAGGATTTAATGCAGTAGATCAATATTAATCTCTCATTAATAAGCACCTATTTCATTTTATTTAAAATAATTAAGGCAGATTAATTCATCAAACAAACTGCTATTACTAAAGGTGACCTAAACAAAACCATTCTACCAGTGTAGCAGGCTGCTGTCCCAGAGGCACAGCAGCCTGCTGGTGTCAAATGTGGATACAGTATACCATAGACGTAGTCTTTTGGGTACATAAGGAGGCTGAACTGCACTCAACCACTTTTCTTTTCCCAATTGCAAAATCATACACCCATTCACATATGAATACAGTGGGGTGCACTGGGCAAGAACCAGTAATTTTAGGACAGGAGGCAAGTGCTTTATCCATTCAGCTTCATCACCCCATTTTCTTTTTTCTCTATTAATCAACATGTCACATTCACTTCCAAATTTTTTCAACTGTAAAGAACATGGGGAAGGGGGGGGTGTTTATGTTTCTCTCGATCATCTTCATAATCCTTCTATCAACATAGTTTTACTGACTTTTTTGCCACACAATCGCCTGCATTTCATCACCTCATAATATCCAATCCAAAATGACATACCAACTTGTTAAACTCCAAAATATCTGATTCTTTCTTATACCAATACCATACTATGGTGGGGGACTGCTTAACCCAACTCCATATGCATTTCTAACCAATTACTGTTTCAGTCTTCTTGTCTGTTGTGACTTTAATTGCTCCCCTACACATTTACGTTTTCTTTTAATGACTGGCAATTTAATAAGTATTCATGGTTTAACAGAACTGTTGCTACATCTGACAACATAGATAATACAGTACTTTATCAGTCATTAATATACAGCTGTAATATATACCTACTGTGGTACCTATTTACATTTCTAAAGTACAGTACAATACAGCACTATTTTACACGCCACACAAAGTCCTGTCCTCAGATGTGGTCTACTACAGTAAGTGTTATAAATGTTGGCATCAGTTACAAGTGTGGAGGTGATAGGCAGGACACTCAACAACAGGTTTGTGGGAAACTTCAACAAGATCTTTGCTGCTGGTGAAGGTCACCTCCATTTTTAATGCTGATGTAGGAGTGATGACTGCTGGAGTAGAGGGTGCCATTTATTTGTCACACTAGTACTTGTATCCTTTCAATAATAAGTGATCTTGGAGTGGGTAATGGTATTTCTCTGCAACTCAGTCATATATGATATCATTAGATTTAACTGCATAACATGGTGATCAGTAATCTGTCTATCCATTACCAGTACACTCCACCTTTATCATATATTGGAAGAACTCTTTTTCAATTGTAACTTCTGGGCAACCTCATAATTATCACTTTTATCCCAGGGTTGTTTAGGGCTGGTGAATATTTTCACAGCTTGTTATCAGGAAGGATTTTGGTGGATAACACATCCTTTTCAACAATGATTTACCCCTCAATATCACCATCACATTTTTTTTATTTTTCCTACTCATATCTTCATTATTTGTTCCAATGTCTTCTTTGTCTGTCTTACACTGAGCCCTTCAAAGTTCTGGCTTATTGCTTTGGAAAATATAAAATAAATATAAATGTATATACTGTATAGTCTTATACTGTACTGTATTGCATTTGAGGATTAAATAGAATTAAAAGAGAGAATTGAGATTCTACTGAACATTACTCCCTACTGAATTGAGAGCTATCATGGTTGTAGTAAATAGCTAAAGTTCATCACTTTTTGTAGAGCGAGATCCTAACACCTCTAGGGCCTCCTTCATTGATGTTATAACTGTTTCATCATCAAAGTAGAAGAATTTGTATTTTGGGTTTCCATTTTTGTTATACAGTTCTTGGTGTACTTCACCTTGGGAGTCTGGATAGAGAAAAAAAAAATGAAAATGCAATTATTAAATACGTCTTTGCTAATCCCAAAATCCTGTTCATAACCAAGCATAGAACCAGCAACTTGAGTACAGTACTTTGTAAAGAAGCTAACAGGATGACACTCGTGGGTAAATTAGAACCAGAGATCTAGAAACTATTACTTTGACTCAACCACAACCTCTAAAGAGTCGAGGGCATAACTAGCCATGCACAATATATGCAAGTGTGTATAGTTTTTCCTGGGCTCATCATTTTGTGGGCCATATGCCCTATTTTGTACTGCCCACAGGACCCATCTGTATGTAAATACTGTCTGAGTAAATGTACCGGTATGTAAGAGAGATTGGGAGGGGGGGGGTCACTGTGAGACAATGGAGTCTGACCTGATTTAGGTTGCACCTCTTAATTACCTTTCTGGAAAATTGCCCAACTTGAACACCTGGGCTGCCTAGCTCACCTCAATATCTATCATTGTCAAAAAATGGCCACTACACCTGACCTCATTAAGTCATCAGGGTTAATGCTTCCCGAGCAACCTATGATGCATGTACGTGTGTGTGTGTGATGAAATAGAAAAAAATGCATGTATGGCAACACCTCAATGATGGAATAGGTGGAAGAGATGACCAACACGGGAACCCAATGACTACATCGGTGGATGAGGGTAATGCAAGATGGACAGGCTACCAAGGCAAAACCCAATAAAATGGGCTATCGGCAGTCCATTGTAACTCTCCCTCTCCCCAATTGTTGCAGCTACCTACACCACTGGATCAGGGAGAGCCAAAGATGTGTGGTTGCAGCCTGTGCTCCTGCCTCACCATATATATCAACACCTGCACAGGCTATCATCCAGCTCAACATACTTTCCATCATCATCAGAACCTCTAAATCCCCAAAAGTCCTATGGCAACAGATCCGATCCTGTCTGTGTGAATAAGCAGCTCTTTCCAAGAACCACATAGGGAGGGGGCTAGAAAAGGTGCCCTAAATATAGCCTGCCTAATAAAATAACCTGACTGGGCAACTGCACCCAGTAAGTTCATCCTAATGCAGTTGAAAACTTAATCACAGATCAGAGCAGAAACAAACTATACAACCTATTATGATCATTGCAAGGAATGCCAGGACCCTTCTGGATACTGGCAAACATGAGCATCCTGAAAGAACTGCCCTCATGGCAAAATAGCTGTCTAAATATAACAGCTCCCAGATTAGGGCCAACTCAAAGAACGGGCCTGGCTATTCTTTCTTCCGGAAGGGTAAGCCTGCTGCGGAGAGGAACTGCATTTATAGAGTTGGCTTTGCCATTCACCAACCCACCATGCATAGGCTAACGAAATGCCTGTTGGGGTCAATGAACACCTCATGACACACTGAGTTCCAATGAAATACTGTACTCACATCATACCTTCTTCATCAGTGCATATGCTCATCTTGGGCTATCCTACCTCCTAAGAATAAGGGTAGGGTTGATTGCTAGATAAACTTTTTCCAATTCTAAAAGCAGATAGTCAAGCTTTATGCAATGGCATACGTCGGATAAACCTCATTGGTTACGATACTGTCGCTGAGCAGGAATCTTAAAAAAAATACTCTTGCAAGTAAGACTTACCAAGAAAGAGGATGCGAGGAATATATCCTCCATCTGGGGAGTACTTCTTGTCAGTTGGTTCTTCATCATCTATTGTGTTCACCATAACAAACTCCTTACTCAGTTCCTGTGCTTCACTAGATGCAGCAAACTTGGGTTTAAAAGCTGTAAACAGAAAATATACAAGTACTACACGGTATTCCACTTTTACTTTACAGTGGTCCCTCGGTTAACAAACACAATTCGTTCCAGAAGGTCGTTCGTTAACCGAAAATTTTGTTAACCGAATCCATTGTTTCAATGGGATATTGGGTAATTGGTTCCAGCTCACCAAAAGTACATAAAGTAAAAAAAAAAAAAAATGCAGTAAACTACACTTACTTTGAGGTGTGTATGTAGAAGGCTCCTGGTTGATGATGATGGGAATTAGAAGTGGGGTGGAGGAGAAGGGAGAAAAGAAGGAAGTGGTATGGGGAAAAATCACTTTCTTTCCATACTCCATGCCTCATTTCACCACTAAAATTTTAAGTTCACTAGGTGTACAGTAATTCAATATTATTTTCTTTAAATCAACACTGCACTGCGCTATATATTATCAATATGTGAACAGTAAAAAATATTAAAAAGATCAACTTAAATGATATTTAATCCATTAGAAACAAGTTTAAACTTAGAACAGATTACTGAATTTAGGGTTGCCATATCTGAACATTAAAAAAAGAGGACGTTCCTGAAAACATCAACCCCCTGCACACTCTTTCACTTTAGCGCTATGTAACCTTGAAGCAGCCGTGACAAGTAAATTTGCATACAGGAGATAGTCCAGTATAATTTGAGGACCTCCTTACCTTTACAGGCCCCACACCAGGACTTATGGATGATCAGCATTAATGGTTTTCTTGTTTCTTGAGAAATTTTAAGTCCATCTTGTAATGTATGCCAATCATAGCTTTCACCAAGGCCTGTAAAAGAATAAAACTGATAACTATTCATACATACAGTATATGTACAGTACTGTACAATGACTGAACTCTGGTGTTGATGGTCATGAAATATGTTTTAAATTTACTGTACATTACTATACTGTACATACATTTCATTGAAGAAAATGTACAGTAATGAATAATACATGTCTCCTCCCAGTACCTATAATTCTGCCATTTTCTTTATCTCGCCTAAAACCACTTCATGTGCATTATTGTTTAATTATCCTTTTACACTGCCAAGTTTGATGAAAAGTCTTTAGTGGCTTCTTGGTAATGAACATTAATGGAAAACATGACATATATAAGCAAACACAGGGAGAGCATTTCTATAGTTCCTTACGATTTTAACAGTACTGTAGTGTACTAATAAGGCAACAACCAAAGTACAGTAACTGGAACAATTTATAATTACCAGTAAGTGAATTTCACAAAGGTAATGGATTGAAGGAATTCTTAAATCTCCCCCAAATCCTAATTTAACCCATGCCAACTTTCCCAACCTAGCCTCAAGTTACAGAAGGGTTACGTTCCTGAATAGTTGTCAGTAACTCAATACTGTATTCCTGAATTTGACACTTACTCTTCTACTCATCATCAACGCTTTACAGCCATTTTCCACACTTGTGAGGGTTAGCCATGGTTACCTGATGGCAGCTGTTGGGTAAACCCAGAACGGCATGTCCCCCCTCCCCCTCCCGCTCACTGCAAACCCAGAGTGCCAGCCCAGAAAATGCAGCAGAGACCAGGGGATGGGCACAGCTCTGGTGCCCTTCATAACACCAACTGACAGGGTGGGTAACAGCTGGCAAGGCAGTCACAGCTAATTAGGTTAGGTTTGGAAAGTTAATTGTGAATTGTCCAATTTATAGTGTCAAACATTGGAACTTGAGAACAAATTCCATCATAAAATATAATGGAATCATTTCATTCATTTGCTTGGGTAAGAAATTTATTACCCCATTAGTTTCCACTATCACAACTGACACTCCAGTTTTCCTCTACTTGGCCAACTAAAGTAATTCTCACAGGCACCACCACAATCTTGGCCCAATAAAGCAACTCTCACAACCACTTCTAAAATTATCTTTTCTCTCTGTTGGACCATTAAAACAAGTTTCACAGTAAAAAATGCTAATTACACAGTCATCAATATCATATCCCTGTTTAGCCATGCCAGAAGCAAAATAGATTCTGGTGAACTAGACTCAGAATTATCCTAAGTGACTACTTCTCTTACACTGTTAACATTATGATTGTGAAGAAAGCTTTCACGTTAAATTACACATTCTTCTAAGAAATAATACTGCAGAGGAAAAAATATTTACATAAATCTGGGTTTGTCCAAAAACCATTTGTATTTATGCAAAAGGATAAACTACAGCAGTCAATTTGTTTTCATTTTCTGAGGCTAATGAACTAATCCAAAGATTAAGCAAAGTGGGTATTTGCACCTGATAGTGAAAATAATGATTTAAGGTTAGGTACTGGGTAACAAAGTAAGTTCTTTCTGCTTAATATGACGGGAAGTCCAGGCGGCTAGGCTAGGGAGTTAGGTAAGGTTAGGTTCTATACCAGACATCAGTGGAATATATTTCTAAGACAGATAAAACATTTCTTAAGTCTTAAGTTTGCGTCCTGTAAAAACTTAGGCCATTGCTGTTATTTCCGTAGATAAACAGTAATGAACATTGAAACAAGCACCGTCTACAACAAATGGTAGTTCAAGTATTTCAATCTTTCCTCAGATCAACATTATAGTTCATATCAAAGTGTTCATTAAAACGACAAAGCTAATCATATTACCTTTTCCTAAATCATCTTCGGCATCTGTTTTTACTCCAAGGATAAGAAAGAGGAAAACTGAAATACATATAGCGAGTTTGTTGTCCATTACTGCGTGGTGTTGCCGCCTCATGATAACAGATCTTTGTTTTTAGAGAATTGGTGAAATAAATTTGAAATAAGCACACAGAAGTGATAATATTACTCTATTTGGGGAATTTTTTTACAAGTTTATTAAGGTTATAATAATTTTCTAGGTATATTACTATTTGTTATCATAGGACACTACTTAAATTTAGAGACTCGTTTTATAATTCATTCATAGCTTCATACTATATAACAATAATATAAGTAAAGTATCGTAAATATTACTCACCACAACTAACAAAAATGTTTTCAAGAATTTTATTGTTCGTTTTTATAGGATGTCATGCTGTATTAACGAGGAATAATACATGTAAACAAATACCATTGCTAGTCCTCGAGCCTTACTACATTCCAGCGTGGGGAAGACTCGTTCGTTATAGCAGTGAGGTGAGGTAGCCACTCAGCCTATGGTCCTGGCTAGCCACCGAGCTTCTCATTGATCGTTGTCCTCTCGGAAGACCCCATAGGTAACTCCGAGACGGGGGTTCACATGTCACAGAACGGAACCCTAAACATTTCACGCGACGATGTTGGGGAGGGTACACGTGTGTTCATCGTCAAGAATGGAGGGAGTGATCAGGGTAATGGTGAAGGACAAGGAATGGCATCACTATCCCGAACACCCTCCATAAGCACCAGCACAAGTCAACATGGCGGCAGTGTTAGTGATAGTGGAGGGATGGGTAATTGTGAGAGTGATAATGTTATTAATGGGATGCTTAGGCCAGGGGATGAAGATGTAGATCCTACCTCAGATCTAGGTGCAGATCTTCAGCATATTGAAGAGTGGTTAAAAACACGCAGTGATAGTTTTTCGAGCTTTGATTTTGACCCCGAAATCAAACCCTCAGAAGTTGATATAAATGACTTCTTTAACCTCAAGAGTGGTGTGCAGTTTCATGTCAGTGGTCAAGACTATGGTTTAGTATTTTCCAAAGATAATACAAGTGATGCTGGTGCTTCAACAAGTACTATGTTGCCAAATCAGTTTACATTCCCTGACCTCGGTGACAGTCTTGGCGGCACGGGCAGTCGAAGGAATAGTTTTACAAAAAGGCTAGAGACACTGATGCAGGTGGATAAGGGTTTGTTTGAAGAATTGCTGTTAACAGACCCCAATAAGAAGTATGGCAACAAAAAATCAGAGAATTTACCTTCATTACCCGGAGAGGATCCTTCTCGAGGTTTATTTGAAGAGTTGTTGTTGCCCGGAGCACAGGAGGACTTGGCTCGTCACGCCCAGGAACTTCTTCTCACAGTGTCGATGGAGAAAAAAGAATCTAATACATCAGGTCAAGTAACCGGAGAGAATGAGTCGCTGCGTGAGCCAGTGGAATGTAGTGTTCCGCTGTCGGAGAATACCCAAGATGCGAGGAGTGACCATGAAACCTCCGACGAACTGGATCTCATGGTTAGGAATATTCAGCCGATCAAGTTGATGAGTCCGCAGGAAATAGAGAACATGGCATCAAGGCCACTAGGCTTTGATGAAACTCCTATCAAAACAGAAGTTCAAAGAAATAGAGACGGTTCTAGTCAGATGGAAGAAGATTTTAACTTCATGCCATTTGTTGCTCGGGGATGTGAAGACAATAGCACGCTTCCGCCAGATCTCTTGACAAGTCCAAATAGTGAGGTAGACAGTAAGCTCTCCAGTATATTGGCCATGGATGCGTCTAATGACACTCTAGAAATTCCGAGTTCTGAAGCCAGTGACATGCTTGAAACTCTCGGTAAAACTCCTCCAAAATTAGAAAGAAGCATTTCTCCGGGTACATTCTTGGTAAAATTGGAACCTAAGGAAAATCGAGAAGCGCGTGAGAAGACCCTCACACCAACAAATGTGTCAACGTCTAGTCAGCTTATAACTGTTGCTATGCCGCCCCCTTCAACAACATTTACCAATACAACAGCTTCTTTTCAACCTACTGTCCCTATATCAATTCTCAATGTAAATGATATTATTAGCACTGCCATAACTAAGACAACAACCACTCCTAGTAGCAGTTTGGTTACTGCTGTCAGTTGTAGTTCTGTTGTAAGCTTTACAACTGTCACAACTACTACCACTACTGCCTCAGTTAGTATGGCTCCTAAAGGACTTTTGAAAATCCCCTCAGGACCAGTCCGCACAGAATTGAAAAAACTGCCCATTGGTATGGTTCAACTTCGGCTCGCTGCACCACCGCCGCCAGTCACTTCCCTTGGTACTGCATTAACAACTGTGACAACAACAGCAAGTCCACAGCTGCCAAGACCTGCATTCATACTAAGGCCTCTGATTACACCTGGTCAACAACAACCATCTCAACAGCAAACCACAGTGTCAGAAAACCTAGTAACCTCTAAGGAAAGTACCAATGCTCCATTAACTTTCACACCACTTAAAATGGTAGCAGTACAGCCATCTAACAAACCAGGCACAGCCAATGTGACGATCACGGTTGACCGAAAAGCAAATTTGACCACAGTTAACATAGTGTCCTCAAACAATGAGCACACAGTTTTTAAAATTAATACTTGTGATTTGGTGCGTGCCGTCTCCAGCATCCGAGAGCCACATTTAGACCCATTGGGTCTTACTCCACAGCAATTGCTGCGTTCTGCTCACACTGCTCACCGTCTGATTCAGGAGGTTCATCAGCAAGGGGCTGCACGTCAACCCAAAGGCGCTGGTAAAGATGCTTCCCCAGGCCCACAAAATTTTGAAATCAATCAGGCCTTGCAAGAAGTTAAGGCACCAATCTCACGAATGCAGCAAGGTCAGTTAGCGCTGTTGAGACAGGCAGCAGCTGCAGCAGTCTCCACAGCAATTTCTACTACTGTAGCAAATACCACTAGTGAAACATGCCAAGCTGTCACAAGTAGTGGTATGTGCACAAGTATTGGATCAACCATAGTAGGAACAACACCACTGTTTACTACTGCTTCCACATCTGGTTCTGTTATGATACCTACAACAGTGAATGCAACTGTATTAAATACTGTCAAAGGTGTAGTATCTAGCTTAACATCACAGAAAGTACTTGGGGATACATGTGTGTCACCAGTTCGCACGGAGGTGAGGTCTTCGCGCCAGACTACAGTCACAGCTGCTGAGAAATCCCATAGTAAGTTATATGAATCTATTCAGTGTGGTTCATGACAATACACTAGTTAAATACAGTACTGTACTGTATAACAACATCTCTGCAAAGTAAATATATAAAGCAGGCACCAAAAAATTAAGAGTTGGGATTTTGTTTTTGTTTGTAATATAAAGTATGTAGCCAATGGGTATGTTGTTTGAACTACAATATATTGAATTTGCTATGCATTATCCCTCAAGGATTACCCTTATCCTGCATTACAAATGTAAAGTTGTGACAGTAAGATGTAATTTCTGTAATGTGCTTATCACTGGTCATGATTGTACAATTCCATCCAAGTAGAATTTGGTCTGGTTATATAAGATTAGGATTTCTGCATACTGGGGAAGATTTAGGTGGGTTAGATAATCTGAAGGACCCCGTTCTTTTTATGTTCCAAGAATTTTGTGTTTCACAATTAAATGGAATGGTGGCGAGAGTGTACAACCATTTTCTCCTTTTCCACCCCTTTGTGGTAATCCCATTTATGTGGGTTTTATTATGAACCAGCCACTGGCCAGTTACTAATTCACCTGACATCTTGACCTGTTTAAATCATGGCTGAGTTTAATTACAGGTATAAATATCTGTACGGCAACATTGGGGTCACAACCAAATCTTAAGTTGTCTCTTTTTATGGGTGAAAATTGAATGACTTTCGAGACACACAACTTTATCTCAAGTGAGACAACGTGACGATCACAGTAAGAGACAGTGTTATGAAATTTGGTCTTAACCCCTATTACCCCTATTTCCATACTGTCAGCCTGTGTAAACCAGCTGTACCATTAGCCACAGCATTAAATTATTTCTTTGATAAAATATCCAACCCATTGACATCCTCTTTGGGTCTGCTAGGTAGACTTAGTCAAAACTGTGTAAACTGATTTCTGCTGTAATGCTAAGGCTAAATCTGTACCTGAAGTAAACCCATTCTGATCTCTCATGATTGCAGGCTCAGCTTCTTGTATTGTCTATTAATATTACTTATCAGTTACAGGTACTGATAATTGAATACAGTACCATAGTAACTTTTAAGTCCTCTGTTTGGTAATACATACAGTATTTTTTTTTTAATTTATGTTAAATACCAAATAAATTATAGGTATTTATTGTAAACTGAAATAAATTAGAATTATTTTAAGATTCTTCTCAGAATATTTTGTTATAATGTTTTCATATTATCCAAAACAGTAAAGAGTGAGGGTGTTGGTGTGTCCCTACGTCCTGGAGCCCCACCAACTATGGTTTCAGTGCCTTCTGTCCTGGACACACTATCAGCCTCCTCACTCATCCCTGCTGACCTCCTACAAACATCTGATCAGTCGCCTTCTTCCTCTGCCCACATACAAAGTGATGATGACCTTAATGATGAAAATCCCGAGATGTGCACAGGTTAGACATTTATTTTTTGTGTAGTGTACTGCATATAGGAGGGTCGTTATTTTGGATGAGTATGAAAAGCCCCTAGAGCCAGGTACAGTATTAGTTTTATTTAATGGTTACTTGACTGTTCTTGCAGTTTCAGATGAGGTTGCCAACAAAGCCTTGGAAGAACTTGGTATTCACATAGATTCTCTTCAGTGTGAACCCTCACCACAGGGGGGCAAACGTTGGCTCTGTCCCATCAAAGGCTGCAGCAAGCATTTTCCAAAGCTTTCATCTCTAAAGGTACAATTAGTTTCTCAAGTGTGCACATTTGCTTTCTGCCATTATAATATTTTCTTGTTTTTTTAGGGACTATGTAGTGTTTCAGGGAAAAAAATTGTGATAGAAACTTACAGCGACAGTGATGAGGGAATTTCCAAATAAAGCCATATTTTAAGACCCATTCCTGGCCCCCATGATTTTCCACATTTCCTCAGTAAAATGGTCTTACTGTACTGTATAAATATGTATTAAGTTTGCAGTAGTTCTTGTTACCCCTCTGGAAGAGCTTACTCTACAATGGAATATTAAAATATGATACATTTGCTGTGTCTTTTTAAGTTCTATGTTGTTCGGAGATACAGCTGTTTCATCTGTGGGCTTCATATATGAACAGTGAAAAGTAACCATGATGAAGATACAACTACTTTACTATGCCAAAGAGAGGAATGACTCACGACTAAACACATTAGAAGTTAAATGGTTAGATAAGGGCAACTTTATTATTCCAATTATGTCAGAGGATGCCTTTTAGTCATAGCCAGATCTTTCATACTGTAGTTTTCTGACTGATCGACTGGTTGACTGTGTTGTGGTGGTGAGAGTTATGTCTTACGGTATGTTTCATTTGCTTTATCATCCACTTAAGAATTAAACACTTTTTTATATCATTTCCTATTCTCATTATGACCTTGACTGGCCTGTCTGATCCCCATTTTGTTCCACATCTCATTCCTATATTTCCATCTGCATGTGAGGTATATTAACTGTGTGTGTGTAAATGTCCTCTAATAGATACAGTACATTAGTTCTCTCGTCTGTTAAGAACACAGGGGAAAAAATATGACATTAAGTCCTGTCTAAACTTTTACTGTACATAGTTTTATAAATACAGTAATCAAGGTATTCTTTCTCCTTTCAAGGTTCACTTGCTGAGCCACAATGGAATCCGGCCGTATAAATGTAGTTATGAAAATTGTGACTGGGCCTTTTACACGTGGTATAAGCTGAAGCGACACATTGAAACACATCTGAAGAGAAGGGACTATGTGGTAAGTTATCCATTTCATCAAAACAAATGTTCCCCAAGTACCACACATGAGATGTGTTTCTCCTCTCTCGTGCCTAACCCATATGCAGTACCCTTATATTCCATCTTATCATTTTTTCCCTCCTCATCCTTAACATTTCATCAGCAATTCCATCCACTTCTTCATTCTTTACCCTTGTTAAACTTACTTGCAGCTTACCTTGCCTCTTCTTTATTATCTTCCATTCCTCCAGGTCTCAGACAGGATAGATACACCTGCTAAATATTTACTAGTAGTTGATCAAAACGCATTTCCAACCTCCCTTCCCTTTTTGCTTTAGTTAATTTTTTCTGCATTATATCCTCTCATTTATTTTGAATTACATTTCAATTTTTTTCTTGGATTGCTCACCCTAAACTGCTCTTTAAAATTTTGTGAGAAACACAAAGAAAACCATTTTCCTCATCTGTTATCTGCTCCTCATTTTCATTTTTGTACCAACATCTTGACTGTCTGTACTGTGCATCTATCTTTCAAGTTCCTTTATTACAACTGGTGTTTGTTTGCCATGCTCTTCTCTTTAACTAATATCACCCAAATCACCAAACTGCTTATTCCACCATTCTTTCAACCTCAAAATAACAACTCTCTGCATATTTCAGGTTCTGTACAAAATTGTTGAATTGTGTCTGAATATATTTTCAGTGTTCAGAAACCAACTGCAACAGGAGATTCACCACAGTTTATAACCTCAACACACATCTTCGCCTGCACCAGCGTCCAAAGTGCTGGATGTGCTCACTGCCAGAATGTACTCAAGCTTTCCACACCCGACGGGAGTTGGAGGTACACATGAAGACTCACAAGGATGTTGAAGCTCCATACAAGTGAGTGTATAGTGTACTCTGTGATGCTTGTTCAAGTACTGTGAAATATTTAGTTTACTTGAAGATTACTATTATCATTATTCCTTGCTGCCTCACAGGCCTTGTCATCCTTTTGAGACTGAATTTTGAGTTTAATGTTTAGTAGCAAGAGGCCAGAAGTGATAAATGGACAAACGTCCTGGATATTAGTGATTGAACATTAAGTAAACCAAGTGAAGTTACAAAGATCATGTATATCCAGGATGAAAAACAGAGATTTATGTCAAATAATTAATTGGAGTGTATAAGAACTTGAGCTGAAATATTCATGTTTCATTGTACATCATAGTGGCCACTTAATTATCATATGTATTTGAGAATTATCTTATATTTTGCAACACAGGGTGGCACCTGTTCACCCTCCCAAGTGAGAGCTAACTCAAGCTCATGGAAACTTCCAGTGAGATAGGCATTTGAGACAATAGAAAAAGTGGGGGGAGAATTGAAAGGATGAACGTGCAAAAGGCAAAGTAAGAAAGGTTTACTGTACGCTACCTAGAAATTTTACAACCAGTTGGGGCATATTCATGTTAGAGAGGCTCTTCTGATTTTATTCATTAATTTAGTTATATGTTTTATTAACTTCACAGATGTGGTGTGGATGGGTGCAGCAAATCTTACTTCACCCCCAACTCGCTCACATCACACATGCGTAGTCATCATAAGGAGGAAGAGTTACGATGCCAGTGGACAGGATGTGGCAAAAAATTTGACAAGCCCTGCAGACTTAAAGCACACATGAGAGTACACACAGGCCAGAGACCATTTGTGTGCACATTTGAGGTTAGATAATTTTGCCTGGCATATTTGTACTTGCAAAAGAAACTTCATACCTTTGTATAATATTTATGGTAACTTGTTGCATCCATATTCATTTTAACTTGAACAATTATGTAACTTTATTAACATACAAATACTTTAAGTCTATGGTATATGAGCTAACCTGTTTACACCTGAGGCCAATGTGTAGGGAGGGAGTGGTTGGCTACTATACCAGTGTCAGCTAGTACAGTACTGTATCTCAAAAGCCATGTCAGAGAGGTTCTGCTAATTCCAGTTTTCCGTATTGGTTTTTGTATTCATTTTGGCCTTAAACCCCCAAAACAAAACCCAACCTAACCAAACTGTTTAAACTAACAATACCAGACTTGTGGCTTTTGCATAGAAATTTAATTGTGATTCTGATTTTAAGAACTAGTTTTGCTCAGTTCATAAACACTTAAAAGGAGATCCTCAATTTTCTTAGGATTAATCTTATTGTCATTACTGTTATATGATACAGTGGGGTATGCTATAACGAACGGATCCTACTACGAATATTCCTATAACGAACGGTTTTACCTATAAAATTGAGAATGCTATAACGAACGAAACTCCTACAACGAACATTTTAAAAAAAATTTTTTTTTTTTTTTTTTACTAATTTATTGTTTTTTTTTATTACAGGTATTAATGATATTCTTTATTTCAGGTGTTTAGATGCATATGTATGCACTTTTTTACAATTTTTACAATTTTATATTATATTTTTCAGTGTTAAGTGGTTGTATTTGGGGGCCTGGAACGGATTAATCCTATAATGAACGAATGCTATAACGAACAAGGTTCTAGAACCAATTAGATTCCTTATAGCATACCCCACTGTATAAACATGAAAACAAAATGAAATGAATATACCTATATTAAGTATGGCTGGCAGATTAGCTCTGTTTCTGTTTTTTATTTTTTGTACATGAAGGGTTTTGAAGAGAGTGGCAATTAATGAAGGATTAAGCTTGATGTATTGATTTGTCATTTCAGGGTTGTAACTGGTCATTCCAAAGTGCAAGTAAATTAAGTCGTCATCAGCGAAAACACACCAACGACCGGAAATTTACCTGCCCCATCTGTCAAAAATCCTTTCTCCGGTCCGAACATCTTAAGGGCCATTTGCTTATCCACACAGGGGTTCGAAACTTTCAGTGCCCCATTGAACGTAAGTTTCTAAATACCCCTTTTTATATACAATGCCGTATACAGTAGATGTACATATATTTGTGTATTATTATTCAGTGTGGGACATCCTGCTAAGCAACACTGTTTAATGATTTCATTTTATAAAATTTGAAGAAGAATATCTATCTTTTGTGTAGTACTGTATTTCAATCATTTAATGCCTTCCCCTTTTTGGGGGGAAGGCGAGTGATAAGCTTAAGAAATTTTTCTGCTGGTCACTTGCTTGTGAGTAAAAGAATCAAGTTGTTCAGAAAGTCTGTTGGTAATGAGTTTAAGTAAATGTAGGAAAACAAAGAACACTGGAAATGGAATATGACTGGCGTTGCTTGAGTACAAGAGACAATGGTTGATCACTTTGATGGATCTAAAGGTCACCCCATGACATTAGGATTCATAAGGAGAAAACTGAAAGGTCCCCTACAAATAGCTTTTTGAGGTCCCTAACCCCACTGTATAACTCATTGCCAGTATAATTTTCTCAAGCCATAAATATATTTGCTTGCAGCCTCGCACCTCAAAAATAGATAATTTGCTGGCCAGTTACGGTATATTATATAGATTTTTATTGTTTCAAATATACGTATTTATTTAACCAAACTTTTATATAAACTATTAAGGATTGTTTGGGTAAAAAAAGTTTTTCTAAATTAATTAGAACTGCTTTTTTTGGACTCTGATATCAACATTTCTTTGGTCTTTTCATAAAAGAATTGAGTCCCCATCATTTTATCATGTCAAAATATTTTGTTTAAGGATCATTCATTGGAACAGTCTCGTAGAGAATTTATTCTGGATCATTATGGTAATAAAAGATTATACTTTCACTAGCCGTGAATATTTTTTCTCGTGCTCATGGTTTAAATGTAATGAGAGTGTTTGCCTGTGGGAGGTGAGATGTGTTGTTTAGAATCGAGATGCTGAGCATAGTTTAGACTCTTGGACTGAAGAAAAACTTTCCCAAATACCCAGAAACATTCCGGGGATGTGTGATAGTGTCTGCCCGTACGAGATGTATAATTGAAACTCTCGGAAACTTTTCCCAGTATACGAAAAATTTCTGGGGATGTTGGATTTTTTCCGGTTTGAGAGAATCTTCTCATTAGCTGGAATCTCTCATTCTCTGAAGAGCTCTGCACCAATTGCTCTGACTAACGGGGACATCACTACTAATTTGTTTACATCCTTAATTTTTTTTAAGCTGCCTTACATGAAATAAGAGATGGCATGGAAAGTTTTTGAGAACTTTGGTTTTCCTGAAGTAAAATATGTACAGTACAGTTGTACCCCGCTTAACGTGGTCAATTGAACCCACAGGGTACCGCGTTAAGTGAACAACAGAACATATGGGATTAATTCCAATAGAGACTGGCCCGACCCCCAAACTCCACTTTTTGACGACACACAACTATGTTGTAGTAAAAATATTATCTTAACTTTATGATGGTATGCACACACAATTAATAATTAAGAGAAATATCAATAATATTAGGTCTTTTAACACTTACATTAGTAGAAAAGATGGCTGGGCACACGGGGATGGGGGGTTGGTTCCGAGGCAGAGGGCAGATTATTGGCCCTCACCTGTATCAATTGTATCACTATCCACCACAGAGGCTTGCAGGGCCTCTTTGTCAAACCCCTCAAAGTCCATATAAGTCCATATCCTCACTATAATTATCACTATCACTGACTTGGGCCGGCTGTGGTGGGTGGCGGGTGAAGAACTCGGTAATGTTTTGATGACTGGGCGACCTTGTGCGCATCGTGCCCGCGCCGCTTCCCGCGTATATGACTAGATGAACCGCTTTAAATGAAAGTTCGGTTCTGGCGAGGCACCGCATATATGAGAAATCGCGTTAAGTGAAACCGCGTTAAGCGGGGTACAACTGTATATGATGTTATGTTAGTGTGCCTAATCATCCCACTTTATATTTAGGAACTTACTCATGTGGTTAATTCTTTGCAGATTGCAATGCTAAGTTCACTGCCAAAAGTAGCTTGTATGTACATCTTAAGAAACATGAAGGAAAGACTAAGGAAAATAACAACAAAGTTACTTATCACTGCCCAATAGATACCTGTGATAAGAGCTACAACTCCAAGTTTAATCTCCGTCAACATATGCTCAAGAACCATACTATACTGAGTGAGATAAAATTTTGATGTTTTGTTTATGTTGCTAAACAGATTTTAAGTAATATGTAGCTCATGTTGAGAGGAGTCATTAGTAATAGAATTTCTTCTTATGTTGTTCTTTAATATGATATATTAACACCTAATTTTTGGCAGCCACAAATCAAATGGACTACATAACACTGCTTAGTGACAAGGACCTGATGATGGACCAACTCCTGCCTTTAACAGCTGGGGGTACATCATCTTCATCAGTCACACTTGACTCCAATGTGCCATCCTCCACATTTTCTTCTGCATCTCCATCTAGTGATGCTCAAGCAACATTACTCTCAAGCATTGAACTCATCAATGGGGATATAGGTGCTGGTCAGTTGCCTTTTGTTTTCACTTTATGCTCAAAAATATTGAATTCATACAAGTACATCTCTTCTTTTCATTTATCATTCCATGTATTTATTGCTCATAAAGTAGGTAGCCAAGAATCTGAAGCATCACAAACAGTCTTTTGCATCCTTATTTTAAGATAATGGTAAAGAGATGAGCTGGAGGATATTTACAGATCCAAGAACTAAAATGTGAGCACTGGACACCAAACAGTCAAGAAGCTTTTAGTCAGATGTGTTCTTATGTGCTCCTCCTTTCACACAACACACAATCCATGTTGACTAAAAAAGTCTAATGTTATTACTCTTAAGAAAATCAGTTAAATAAAGATTAAAAATGTAACATATTGGATTGGGTGAAGAAGTTCCCAGACAGACTTAGGGATGAAAAGATGGTACGGACGTATGGCATGTATGATAAATGAAGGGAGTGTGGATAGTGTGAGGGCTGCTGAAAATCAAGATGAGATATTAGGAGAGTCGAATGTGGTGGAGACTGAAGGACACAGCCAGAGGAATGCTCTGACAGAAGGAAATGGACAAATAAGGGGTAGGAAGATATACAAATGGACACATGGAAAGGTAGGGATTGAGAAATGGGGTGAAATTTATATGGTAAGTGACTTAGTAATCCCTTGTGTATAGGCTCCTCTCCAAACTGAATAAAATCATCTGGGTTTAGCAAAATAAAGTATTAAAAGTGGCATCCCCGTAGTAAAGTAATTAAGATTTACTGGTGTCCTGCATCACTGAATAAGAATTTTAGCACCACATTAGTGAGTTGGTTCCCGGGCCGGTGGAAGTTGTTTGGACTAACTTCCTAGCCCCCATTAGTCCCTGTTCACCTAGCAGTAAAGTAGGTACCTGTTGTAAGTCGAAAGTTGCGAATTCTTATTCAGGGAAAGTTGTTGGAGCTTCCAATAACTTGATGACATAAACCACTGACTCTTCAGGCTTCTACGCCCTTAACTCATGAGACATAAAGGCAAGCACGAACTTAGCATGCTTCCTTGTTGGGCGCTGTAAATGCTTCTGCGCTTCACCTTACACAAGGATGTAGGGGAGTGCCCAATAAATAAAAAAAAAAAATGCGAGTTGGCACTGGATAATGAAGGAAGGGATATACAGCATTTCCTTGCATATTGGGCACATCATCATGGAAGACACACACACACACTTAACTATCTCGAAAAAAAAAATATTTGAAGAAACAGCATCTTCATTGTCAATGTTATCAAATACAATATAATGTCTTATACATAAATTACCCATATCTTATATTGTACTGTATTAACAGTTCCTTTCTTGCTTCTCTTCACTGAGGAACAGTTATCATGAAGTGGACAGTTTTATCCATTTTGGGAACTCGGAAAAAGAAAAAATAAGGCACTTTGAACACTTGTAAGCATTGTCTATACCTGTTGATATCATCTGCTTTGTACTTGTCTAAACACTCGCTATTGTTGCAACTACAGTATTAAAATGTCAAGCTTCAAAATGTATAATACAATACATGTACTGTATGTTATTCAATGCAATTTTTTTTTTTTTTTAATAAATACAACATTCAAGATTACCAGTAAATACTCACAACTACCACTACAGTACTGTACTGTATGAGGCAAAACATGTGTTCCAGAATCTGGGTGCTTAGTTGAGATGAGTTAAAGTCTTTTGTTTCGTATCAAATAATGAAAAAATATTTAATAAAACCTAATTATCAGCTAAATATAAATCAGTAAGTACTAATGTTTTTTTTTAAGTGAGACTAAGGTGGTTGACATCCTTACTGTAGTGTTGTGTACAACTTATATGTTGTGCTTGTGTTTTTGATCAGGCTGTATTGCTACAATTTGTTGGCAGAGATGCCAACTAATCTAATTCTTATGATGTTTTCTTCGTAATTTTCATTCTTGTTGGTAACTGTTAACCAGGAATCTAATAATTTCCAGTGATTGTCCAATTGTTACACATAATCAAAGGAAACAGAGGGGAGCATCAATTATGTTTAGAAAATATGAATTCATGCTTCCTGACCAGGTAATAGCAAAACTGCTTTATTCTTGAGGTAAGAAATAACTTTTATTCTAAATATTTTTCATTAGGTGGCTGGATTACTGGGACTAATGTCCTCAAATATTACCATCATGGTTTTAGTCGATGTCCTCATCCCTCTTGGGTTAACCTTTGTCATTTCATGTAAGATGCAGGATTAGTTTTGGAGAATTTGGGGGGAGAAAAGCACATCTTATAAGGCAGAAAATATATTGTGGAAAAAAGAGAAATGAAAAGTGTTAAAGTGAAATGGGGTAAAGTAATGTTGGAGGAAATAAGACAGTGTTTAAAGCTTAAGAAGTGTAATGAATCAGGAGTGGATGGAATCACTGTAGAAATAATAATAATATATGAGAGTTAATGAAGTTATTATGGATGACAAGAGTGTATAAGTAGTGATTGGTGGAGGAAATTTGTCCCTGAGGAAGAATTAACCTTTATACTACTGACTCGGTAGAAAAATAGGTCGGCGAATGACTACTGCTTTTACTGGTTCAAATGCAAGCAGCAGACTATTTAGGATACATAGACCCTTATTCTTTGTGGCCCTTTCCTTTAGAGGCAAGTTTATCTCAGTACGTTACTTAGTGAGTGATTTTCTCATGCATTCTCAACCCTCGCCAAACTCACAATCAACCACAAATCAAAGAGTTATTTAAGAGGGAGATTCAAAAGAGGTGGCTTGATACTATAGTAATGTTTCATTAAAGTGTGGCCAAAGAATCTTAAGAAGACGACATACAGCAGAGAATAATTGTGTAATGAAGTGGAAGAGAGAATGAATAGATGTGAAGTGTTGGTACAGTGTGGAAGTGTTGATTCTTTTTATTTCACACGTTAAATTGGGGATAAGTGAGTTAGTTGAGTTTTTTTCTTTCTTTTTCATCATATTATATTTAATGTTTTGTGAGGTTTAGTATACAGTAATTGTGGACCTCTGTTTATTTGGATATAATTTACAGTTGTTGAGTCACCAGTTTTGGAAAGGTAATATCTTTCTGTGTACAGTACTTTATCCATGGAATTCAAAGTGCTATTTTATTTACTTATTTATTCTATTTTTAGCACTTTTTCTTATTTTGTTGTTTTGTTTACTCTTTGTAGATGGAAATAATATTCCTCCCATTATTGTGATGGAGGGAAGAAGTGGTGCTGAAGCCATTGACAGCATGGACGTCAGCATGGCAGACACACTCATCGGAACAGCATCGGCTGCAAGCGGTGCAGAAGTGGAACCCCTTGATATGGCCACCATCACAAAGGACGCCGCTGAAGACATAATTGTGTCTGGGGGTTCTGCTCGCACAGATGTTTTAGGGAATATTATACGCTCTCAACGTGCTAAAAAGAGGCAACAGTTGAACTTGGCTAAGAAGATAGCAGAACTTGGTTGTCACACATCCAGTGATCATTCCAGTAAGCCAATCAGAAAATCTTGAAAAATCTTATGAATTGTCTGTTTATTGATGCAGTCATTTTTATAATTATCAAGCCTGTTTATTGATTTAATTTTAGTTTAATTTATTTATTTTCTGTGTGTATCTGTGCTAGCAAATGTTAAGTGTGAGAGAGAGAGAGAGAGAGAGAGAGAGAGAGAGAGAGAGAGAGAAAGAGAAAGGGAGGGTGCTCTGTTCCTCCATATTAGCAGTGAATGGAAGGAGTGTTGTTGATAGATAAAATGAAAATAAAGTAGGTAGGCACTCAGAAAGATGTGTACAGCATGATTGATTTTATGTTAATATAACTAATGAAAATCTGAAACTTCGGTAGAACCTCTCTAGTTCGCTTTGATTTTGGACTGACCATTTAACAGATGCATATTTTGCGAACTAACGAGTCATTAATAACGTGAATGCAGTAGACCATGGGACCATGAAATCAGTATGTTGGGTATGTGGAAAATGTCAAGGTTCGTAAAAACGTTACGTTTGGACCCAGAAGCCACAAGCCCAAGTTATCTGACACCCGGTATATAAAATACTTTATATTATAAATAAGTAACAAATGACCCAATAAGCCCACATTAGGCATATGCTCTGTTAATAGGGTTGAGTACAATACAAACTACAATACTGTACAGTGTAATTATATAATACTATATATACTCACCAACCAAAGAGCTGGACTTTTTAACTCTTAAACTGGGCCCATCATCAGTGGAAGTTAGCTGTAGCGACTGGTGCCATCATCAGTAGACTTTTCATGTTCTTTGTATTCCATTTTAGCACATACGCAGGGGACTAGGGAATCCTTGGCTGCCAGTTAAGGTTTAAGAGAAACTGATGGAGATACAGAATATAAGTCTTCATCCAGCTGTTCCTTACATAATTGGGCAAAATTAAAAAAAATATTATCTCTACAGGTCAATTTTCCATTGATACAGTATTATTATTACTATTTTCCCCCCTTTCTTCCCTTTCTTATTTGAATTTACTGGGAATATGTCAGCTGTATATAAATAATGCTAACAAGGATGTGACAATTTTTTTTAAATTTTCTTAGGCCAAGGTCACCACTGGATGTGGGCTAAAGTTATAATGGGCCGACTTCACTGAAAGTTTCGACTGTATTTACTAAGTGTCTTTCATGTGCCTAGAGTGTTTTATCATTTGATACGGTTAAGGTTTTCCATCGTGCTGTTTTCTTTCGTTATTTGGTAAATTTTTTCTCATCATAAAAAGTTGCAGGTACAGGATTATGTAACCAACTTGACTCTGCAGTTAATTGTTGAATAGCGGATGAGGGGTGTACACTGCCACATCACACTGATCATTGTGGTAGTGTGGATTTTGGGGACTTTCAACATTAACTTCACAAATACAGTATGAGCTAAAATTTTCTGTTAAATAGTTCTTAGGGATTTTTTCCTTTAAATGTTTTTAGATAAAGACTGTTGCATATTTGGGCAATTTTGATTCCTAAATAAAGTCAACGTAATATAAGCCATTTTGCAGAGCACTGCTCAGCGAATTAGAGAGGTTCTCCAGTAATCTGTAATTGTATTTTATTGTGATATATCTCACCCTGATCAAACATTCCTTGTAAATATTTTGGTTTGCACATCATGATATACAGTATTCATGCATTATCCTCAGTTAAAATTTTTTATTAGTTATACATTTCTCTCCAGCATCTACCCTCATCATTATGTTTGGTAAAGATGTGGGAGTTGTTTAATATTAATCCTGTCTCTATTTGACTGTCCATAATGATCTTGTATTATGCTAGTTTTAGTTGTTCTTTTATTTAGAGTCAAAATCAAAAGTTCATCAAAAATCCCCAGCCAGCATTGGGTTTCTATTCCTAACACATAGATGGCGCTCATTCCACCAAAATGTAGAGCATTGTCTTTTTGTAACTAGACTGCAGGTCAACCATTGGTGAAGAAAGACATAATGCTGGCTGGGGATTTTTGGCAAACTTTTGATATTGACTGTACTGTACATATACTGTATATCCTCTCCTTATTATCACCCCACCAGTAGCCTGAGGGCTTAAATTTCTGTGTATCTAACTCCCTGCTACAGTACTCAGTGGCTAGACTTGAAACCTGCCATTGGTCTTGCAGGTAGAAGTGTTATGGGGTATTACTTTTTTATTCCTTTACTTATATTGGACATCAGGGTTTGTACTTTGGATGTCAACTCCCTCCTTAGTTCCCCCCACCCCTCCTACCCACCCCTATTGATTTTAAAACTTGAATGCATATTGGATATTTGTTTCTGGAATAGAGGATTTTTGAATGCTCTGTGCACTTGGCTTACAAAAATGGGATTGTGGAGGAATACTCTTGCATTCTAGTCCACTTGTTTTTCAGGTATTTTTTCCCAGACTGACAAAGAGTAATCAAAATATTGTACTGTATTTCAGCTGGGGAAGGAGTGGTGAGTTTTACCAATGATGTTGTGTTGTCAGCCTCTGCAGTAACAATGTCTGCTACATCACATCTTCAATCTGCACTCTTACAGGTAAATGTAAATATTTTCTCATATTACAGTAGTTTATTTGCATATAAAAATATTTTTGAAGTGGTTAAACTTCAGGCACCGAAGTACCATATATTAACAGATATGATCAAGATTTTTGTTTACTTTATGCAGTGATTTCTTGTTAAAAATTTATTTTTTATTTTTATTTTATAAAAGACTTATTTTTACAGTAATTGAGCCCATTGCTGGGGTCCCCAAACTTGGATACTTTTGTTGGACTTAGTGTATGTAACGTGCAAATATCATAATCGGGTTATCGTGAATATTTAGTTTTAGATTTGAACATATTATGTTACTCGGCATAAAATTTGCATTTAGTTTGCCATTTGTGGAAGATTGTTAAAATGTGTGTTGCTTCAACCCCAGGATGATGGTGTTGGCAGTGAGCTGTACCAGGAGAGTCTGATGGGCCATGATCTCCTGTCTGATCCCACCACCGATCCACAGTCAACTATCAACCTTCGAGACTTAGAATAATGTTTTTAGTTCTCCTAGAATCCTTTTTAGCTTGGGGAATGTCTTGTTTACAGGTACTGTAATTTGTATTTATGAACATACACATGTTTATTGTATTTAATACTGTATAATGATCTCATGCAACACAACTGTTATTGTGTAAAACTTTACGGGAATCATTTTCATTTGACTTGTAAAGTGGTATTCCTTAAAATTATTTTATATTTGGGAAGTTTCCAGTTTGAAGTCTAGATATTGACAAGAACATACGTGGTATTTATGGTGATCTTTTTCTTATTGGTGGCAGAGATTTTACTTTTTTATGAGTATTGACTGCCCTGAAGAGATCTGTAATGTATTTATTAAGCTTCTGAATTTCTATTTTGTTAAAATGTCTATTTTCTTTTGAGTAAACTGATGCCCATTGATGCTTAGTTAATTAAGTTAAAATCTTTAGCCATAGAAAATCAGAAGCAAATTATAGCATTTTTCCTTGTGAAATGTGATCATCTTCTGGGTCTACACTAATTTACATTCTTTGGTGGAGAAACGAGTTCAAAAGGTATTTTTTACTTAGGGAGTTAATTGGAAGATATCTTGCCAAGCTATTGTGCCTGGATTCTCAAAGAGCTCGTAAGCAATAGTAGATAATTTATAGTCTGCTGTTATCACTAATGGTCCATGTCTAATTTTGAAAAGCCCAATCATTAATGGAATAATCTAATGGGAATTAAAAAAATAAAAAATCCAAGAAAACCTATTCCAGTACACAGATGACAAATATATTCAAGTTCCATGTTATTTGAGACAAACTCACACCATGTGTAATCACAACTTTTCATTATACATATTGCTTGTTATATCACGTCACTGGATGACTAATAGTGGGACATTTTGGTGAAGATGAAAATATGAAGGGCCTTACCTCATATAACATAGGTCAGCATAAATTAACATTTTACCCCACCACAACTGAACATTAATTCACCATAAGGACTCTGAATCTGCCACATGATTGTGACACAAAGATGAATGCAAGGTTAATCAACATATCTATAATATTAATGGGTAAGAAAGGGGATTTATTATTTACAATAATCAAGATTTGGGTAAATAGTTAATAGTGGTAGATATTACCTCACAAGGTACTCTGCAAAAGGGACACAGAGAATGTATTACTAGTTTTTGTTACCTATAGTCATGTTTGTTTAGAAGAGATACATTCACTTATATTTTTTTGAGAATGCCATAGTTACTTTTATCCTGAGAAGATCACTGTGTGAGCTATGATCACAGAGGTATGAGACTACATCTTTCTTTGGATGGCTTTATTCTTTCTCTATCTGATATACTGATAGTATACTCCATAGTTACATTGAGCAAGTTGAGTGTTTATCAAGAAAAGTTTATTTACTGAGGATTATGCATTCATCCCAAAAATTAAAATTGAGCATTAAGCCATAATGGTAGAATGTCAAGTGGCTTTGTACACAACTTAGTTTTTGTTCGTCTGATTAATCACAAGACCAGTTTTACCCCGTTTGTCAAGTTTTAAGAATTACCCACATAACCATAGTGATCTCGGATATATTCTCAGTTTGTGGTATTTTATACCATCACCCACCTGGTGAGTTCTTGGAAAGTTAATATAAAAAAATAGTAACTTTTATATTTTGACAATAGATGAAGTTGCTTTTTGTAATAATTATTTTTACCTGGCTAGTAAATCCTTTACCAAGCTTTCCAAGCAGTCTAACTGATAATCATTTTCTACGGAAGGTTTCCTACTACTGTATTTCTCTCAGTGAGCCTTCACTCGTGTACTGTTGGGCATGTGATTTTTTCCTGATCTGCGATGTAAAATTGACCTCTTGCTCATATAATGCTGCCATCTTCTCTTGTTGACAGAAGCTTTATGGTTAGTTTTCTTATAGAAGAAATGGTATTATCGAATTTGGATCAGTTTGTGCAGTCTTTCCAGTGTAGTGGTTCCTGTGGTTGTGTTCGGAGTCCAACATTGGGGCAGGGTTAGTACTTTTAATCTTAAACACATTGTACATATTGGGTTAAAAAACCCAAGTTGCATAACACTGCCGTAGATGCTAAGAAGGGAAATTATTGTAGTACATTATTGCCTTTGCCAAAATTACTTAAACAAATATTTAACGGTCCATACATAGATGTACAACTTGAGGTGTATAAAGAGTTTTTCCTTAAACTTAGACAACTGTAAACCAGATTGTTAATATGAAAGAATTCTCTCAGTAACATTACTCTTTATCGAAATACTTGTTACATAGAGAAAAGTATTTAGATTTTTGAGAAAGCGATATGTCCTCACATAAGTAAAACAAAATTACCTAATACAGTTTTAAGGTGCCATGAGAAAATGTGCACATTAAGTGTGCAGGTCATTGGGCTTTAAGGGGGATTCAAACAGTGAAGAAGTCGAATTATGGGGTTACAGATATTAAACTTAGGGAGTTAAAGTTATGTTGTCAGTTATCCGATATTTCTTCTGTTTAAATTAAGGATACTTTAATCAGAAGAAATTCAGATGTGGTTTGTTGAAGATTGAAATTGAGATTGTTTTTGTGGTCAGTCAATATTATTGTTACATGTTGTAGAAATATATGCCTTATGAATATTATTGTGTTGTACACTGATTCACAACATATACTGTATTACTACCATTTTCATATCATCGTGCACATAAGTCCAGAGATTCGTAGCATAATAATGTGTGTGTGTGTATTTGTAAGGGTGACTCTAATGTTTAACTGTGTACAGTATTAGTGTTTTTGCATGCAGTATTTTATACATTTACGTGTTTCAGACAAATGTATAATTTACAAGAGCATTTCACATTTTTATTGGTATTGGTGTCAAGAACTATGAACTGTGAAGATTGAAGATTAATCTTGTGTATTTACTGTACTTATGATTATGATTCACTGGCATACATAATAAGTGTTCTCTTTTTTAAAAGAAAAATCTGAGAAATGAGTGTTATCAATAGATTTTCTCACTCATCTAGTACCAGCATGTCTTCTATTTTATATATATATATATATATATATATATATATATATATATATATATATATATATATATATATATATATATATATATATATATATATATATATATATATATATATATATATATATATATATTTCATGTAAATCCACAATATATATATATATATATATCAGTTATGTAAGTGTATTTGTAAATTTGAGTAACTATACAATACTTAACGTTACATAATAAGAAACAACTGTCATGAAGAATTCTTACATATCCTTGTAACACATTGTAATTTTTTTCAGCAGTGGGTTTAACTCAGTTAGAGTTATTCTTGTGCCAAAGTGTGGCTGTGATAAGCTGTAACTAGTGGTAGAATGTAAACATTGTTTTAAATGGTTGACAATTCACAACAGTTACTAATTTTAAATGGTTCAGTCAGACTATTTCCATAATGAGTCAGTATTGTGGGTATTTGTGTGGGGGTTTGTCATTAATCTAATTTATACTGAACCTCAAAATTACAATAATTTTGTTGATAAGCTTCATTTCGTCATGATTGGAGATCTTTCAATAACCTTAACCTCAACCCATTGACAATCTTTATACACCACTCACTAGAAGTGCATTTTGTCACTTAGGAAATACAGTTTAGATATTAAGGAAGAAGCAGTATTAATGTGTTTTGGGGTAAATAAGTTGATTAACCAGGGCTGCTATAATATAATACCCTTAAGTGTTTTGAGGCTTGACATAATGGTGTAGTACTCACTTTAAGCTGTCAATCTCTTAATCTAAAGAGACATGAATTGTTTGCTTTATTCTGTTCAGTGCATTCTAGCCTGACGATGGTTATGAAATTCTCTTTACAAGGTTTCACATACCCAGTATGTTGTACTTGTAATTTAGTTATACTGTACAGTACTGTATCATTTATTGTTTTAAAACTACCCAAGTGAATTCATTCTTATATTGCTTTATCAGCAACTATTTTAATGAACTAAGGGACAATTTGGAATAATTTAAAATGCACAGTTTCCTTGTAAACTAGAACCCAGTTTGTGATTAAAGTTTGATTGCCTTGATTAAGCATTTTCAGAGTTGGAGTGGACAACTACTGTAGGTGCCTACAGGTTACAAAACATCCTGGAGCTCTTCAGAAATTACTGCCAACAAATTCTTGCCTCACACAGTATAGAGCAGCATTTCTTAACCTTAGCACCCCATGTAGTCAGGTCTAGGCAGTCTAGCTCCCCCTTCATCTGATTACAGAAACTACAGTTGCTACAGGACTATAAAAAGTAAGTGAAGTACTGCTTGATAATTTATTTTGTACTGCACTTGACAGAAGCTCTTTCCAAGCACCCCCTAAACTCGGTTTCAGCACCCCAGGTTAAGACATGCTGGTATAGAGGATTTTTTTTTCTTTTCTTTTTTAAACTTTGTGGTGGAACTAAGATTACTACTGTATTATTCACTCTGGTAATATATCAATATTTTACTCTGTATTTGAGGTAATACTTTAGTCACTATGTTATACAGTACTTTATTTACTGGCTTGAATTCAAACTATTAACTCAAATTGGAAATTTATGAGGATAGGTTAATATGTGTTATTTATGAAATGCTATTTAATCTTTTGTAATTATTGGCTGTATTGATAGTACAGGTACTAATAGAGCTTCAGGATTATTAACCCTTAGCAGAAACATTTTCATTGGCAGGTTTTCATTCTCACAACAGTATTTAATTCAGTTTATTGTTATTGTGTGTGTGGAAAATAGCCATAAAACTATGATGGGGATGGGTCATCAAGAGATAAGGAATTGGTGAAGATCCTATGAAGATAATTATTCAGGTTGGGAATTTAACTCCAAGGAATTTTTCTCATTAAAATTTTTATACCAGTGTATTGTATGTCTTAAGAAATAGTTTGGCCCATGGTTAATAAAATAATATAAATCTATTATTGTCACAACTAGTAATGTGGCTGCTGAGTTTATTGTGTAATGTAATGTTCAGTCTTCAGCAATCATCTTTTCGTCATTTAAAGTTCAACAGTAACGATCCAGAAATAAAAGGAATTTATTTTATTGCTTAAATTTTAATGCATTTGAAAAGAAACCCCCTTTATTTTATGGTTTATATCTTCTAATCTGTACTGTAATGTTGTCTCCCACTTGAAGTTTTGTGGTGTAATGATACAAGAGACTGTATCACCTTACTTTAGTGTCCATTGATTTGTTATAGTTTAGCTTTTTGTAGAATAATGGTCAGTCCTCATAATTCAGATTGTAATACTGTACAGCTGAGTCTGAGCATAAGTTAAAAGTTTAAATTGATTTTAGGTACTGAAAGTAATTATGTTAATATAGCAGCCAAACTTACCTGGAGCTAAATGCGTTTTGGGTTATTTTTCTTCATCATTCCATTATTTAAAGGGAGTTTTTGTAGTATACAGTGTTGTTAGCCTATTAACCCTTCAGCTGTGGCTTGCAGTAAAATTTTTGTGCAACTATGCACAATTTAAAAAAAAATCTTAAGGTACTTTAAATCTTACAAAGGTAAAAATTTGCATGGGAAACAACAGAATAAATAATTTATTTTGTTTGGTTTAGCCATGGTGAAGAACTCCTATACCACACAAAGTGGATGGTTCCAGGTCACTAGGAGATGGAGACAAGAATGTTTCCTCTATGACGAGTCATTGATGACTGTGTAATGAGGCAGGGCTAGGAGTTGGGGGACCTGGAGGCCAATGGGGGACAGTCTATAAATGGGTCACGTGGTGTGTAATTTTAAGAATTACCGCCAAAATCTTGGCTGCCTGCTGGCTTATCGCAGCCTCTATAACGACTCACTCTACTGGCTCTCTGCAGCTGAAGGGTTAACTCATTATGTCCACTTCAGAGTCATTATGGCAAGGCTTTGTGTGAGCATAAAGCTACTCCTGGATTCACCGAATTATTTTGATTTATAAACTGTAGGTTTAATAGTGATCTGTATAACATACTCTATACTTGTAATTATTATTGCTTCATTATGAAACCTTTTAGTTTTAATTTGATGCTTGGAATATTTTAACTGCCATATTTATATTATGTATCATGGACTTCCACTGAGGAAGAGGTATTAGTGAAGTAATAATATTTCATGGTACAGACCCTGGAAGCTGAAAGGTGTGCTGTGTTTATTAATGATCTCCTCATGTGTGGCAAAGTTGTGGTATGCCCCCAACACTGCTCGAAACAGAATGTACCTGATGTGTAGTTGTTAGTTTGGGCTTCAGCTGCTGTGTAGATTGTAGGTTGTAAGAAAAGTTGCAGTAACTCTTCTATCTAGTTTCATTATTAATCTCTCATTTATGTATGTCTTATATAATGTACTGTACTGAATTATAGACTGAAGGACACTACAGGTGATCTTATCCTTCATTTAAGATATACTTGTACAACATTTGACTAAAGGTGAATTGATCATTATCTTTGAGAACCTACAATTTTTTAGGGCTGTAGGTACCCACAAAGAGAATCCTTTGTGCAATATTTAATACACTTATATCTTGGGATAACACATAGTTTTATTTACTCCTGAAAAGAATTTTTGTGTGTGCAGAAACACTTCAGATTTATTAATGCAAAGCCTTAAAGTCAAATTGTCTGGACCCTTGATAATGGTGGATGCATAATTAATCCGATTACCTGATAACATCCATAATGATGGTCTAGCATCCCCCAAAATACTTCCCAGTTGTATTCACAAGCTCTCAAGCGAAGAGACAGGATAGAATAGCATTTTTTTCACTTTGGTTTTTTTACCACACCCCCCTTAAATATGCCCTTGTATTGGACATTTAAGTATACTGTACTATAGACTACATTTGCTTAGCACTAGAAGCAGCTGCTAAATTATAGGCCAACCTCCACACTCACATAGTGCCAGTGGAACTACAACAGAACACACACATTGTCATAGTAGTAGATGGTGGTACTGCTAGTACAGAACAAACTAAGGTAACACAACAGGTATGGTTACGTTACTTTGTTAGGTTAGGCTGATTTTGGTTGTTCAGCAATGTGTTTTTCCGATGTTTGTGTGATTTGAACGAATTTGACCATGATTTTTGCCGCCAATTAGCCGTGTGTGCTTCCTCTATCCAAAACCCCAATTTCCCTCGGGTCTCCCATACTGGAGGTAGGGAGGGGGAGGAGGCATAATTGAAAATCATGGTTCAATTCGTTCAAATCACAAAAACATCGGAAAAACACATTGCTCATCAAAAAATCCATGGTCATCCACTTGTAAAAATTACCCAATAATCATATTTTATTATAATATAGAAATAGATTACTCTCAATACCCAAAATCCCTTTTAATTAAACATAAACGTGCAGTACATCAGCCAGTTTTAAGTAACACTCGGCACAAAACAATTAATGTTAATATCTTACCACGGAATGCACCACTTCATAATTTACTTTATTTAATAAACCAAGTAAACCAAAAATTTACAATAAACCTAAATTACATTAATTATAATATATTATCTTTCAAACAAGCAAAGGTAAACAAAAAATGTTTTAGCACCAAATTCGGGGAAGTTTTCCAACATTCGTCGCTTAGCTCTGTCATCCTCAACAACATCTTCTGCAGAGAGTTTGTTCAACAGGTAAAGTACTCTACTGTATATATATCATATGTAAGCACTTAGTGGAATTTCATTATTCTAAATATTACCCAATTGATGTGCATTCTATGACACTTCAGTAGGTGAAAGATGGACAGATAGATATTTATTCATTAAAAATAGTTAAAGGTTCACAGTTGGTCAATGTGGATGCAGACAACGGTAAACAGTGAGTCACTTCAGAAGAACAAAACATAAGAATGGAGGAAACTGCAACGGGCCTATTAGTCCATACTGGGCTGTCCCATTTACACCCAACCCCTATCGCTTTTATTTCCATCTAACGTTTTTTTCTTTTTTTATGGAGATGCTGGAAAACCAGCTTTTTAAAGT